TTTAAGACTAGCTTCTGTTAAAGAATAGGGCCATTAGGTAAATCAGCACTGCAGTCTCAGTGTTGCATAAGGTACTGGTCATTCCCTTTTGGAAAGGGTATGRGTGGCTTAAGAGGGCATTCAGAAAAGGCTGAGTGAAATACCAAACACAGGAAAAGACTCCTCTGTGAAGAACCTGGAGGAGAATACGGTAGCTTAGACAAGAGATGAGTAAAAGCAGCCAAGACAAAAGATCAAATAGTAAAACACTGCGGTGGGATGGTCTTGCTGGACAGCAGCTGCCCACCAAAGCTGCTCTGTCACTTCCTCTCCAACTGGATGGGGAGAAGAAAATACAACAAAAGGCTCTGGGACATAAAAAAAGCCTCTGGGGAGGGATCACCCATCAGTGACTGCATAGGCAAAACAGATTCAATTCAYGGCTGTCACATGGGGGACACAGGAGATTTGATCTGACCATCCAATCAACAATTTCAGGCTTGTTTCTATTGCAGTTCTTTGGTTTCCAACACAGCAAAACTCTCAAATATGTTTAATAATGAGCCTGTGAGAAGTCTATGCAAATGAAGAAAATATTAAAGGATTAGCTTCATTTTTAGTGTATCTAAATCTAGTCCACTTCAGAATTGACAAATTTGTATTAAGCAAGCASTGATATAGGTCTCCAACTTTAAGTACATGTTTATAATCCACTGAAGTGGATTGAGATCAATGGGGTTGGGGAATGTGCTTAAAATGAAGAGTATACTTGAGAGCTTGTAGAGTCAAGGCCCCAGTAGAGAGCTCATCAAAGGTTTTCCTAGATGCAAAGTTGCACTGATATAAATTTGAAAGTGATTTGGAATTGATTGGATTAAACTCGTCTGAAAGTTTGGTGAATGCATTCAAGAAAAGGGGAGGTGTGGGGGTTGAGAGTCAAATATTATTAAAGATAGTCAGATAAAGGCACTGCCACTGCCCCATGTCTCTTTGTCCCCATCCTGAAGATGACAGCCCCCAGGAGAGTACAGCAAATCATCCAAGTCCCTGTCCCTCCACTTCTGTGTTTTATAGGCTCTCAAATTAACATATCTAAAAAAATACCTCAAAAATTCCARATTAGGAACAGAAGCAATTGAGTTATGTCAATGTTCCCCTTTGGTCTTTCTGAATTAGTGGCCAGTRAACTCTGGTAGTGGGACAGGCAAACAGCCAGGGAGTCAAAGCATCTTCATCTGCTTCCACTATTTGTGTCAGTGTGTATTTGTTTGTGTTGGGGACAATAAACAAATGGAAATTAATCACTCAGTCTGGAATGTCTCCTTGCACAAGTGTGTAGGGAAGGCTTACACCAATTTAACTGGATTAGCAGTCTGCAATGACCCAAACCTTCCAAACTTTCACCTGCAAGGCTGTTCTGGGGATAGGAAATCACTACTTTAATAATCATTATTGAATGAATGTTTGTTAGTGAAACTACAAATATTGTGTGCATGCTCRCAGCTCATGACAATCACGGTGTAAACTGTGAAAATTCACAGTTCAGTGGAGAGCCATGACTTTGAAGCAGATTCCCAAAGTTTAATAAAAAGCTCACAAAGCCTTTAATGCCCTGCCTTGCCTGCACACAGAGTATGAGCATCTTTAATATGGTTCTGAATTGGCACCACACTTGTAAGACRAGGTGGAAGTCAAAAGAGACTTCAGAAATTAGGACATGGTTCTACCAGTCCATGCCCTGGATATTTGTAACTGCAGTGGCTTTTTGTTCTGTGTCATGTATTAGTATCTAACATTCACTGAATTTCAGTCCTTATTCTCATCCTCATGCATTTTCTTCTCCTTTGGAAACATTTTTGTAAATGAAAATACATCCTTAGAAATCTCTCGGTATTCATTTCCCCCCTGTAGCTCCTGGCAACACAGTCTAGTTCAAATTGAGTTACTTTTATTAAAGCCTTTGATTCTGGGGGAAAATAAGAACTTTTTTTTCCCCATTATTACCACTATGAGATCCTCACATGTTTGAGTTCAATCCATTTCCCAGGAAAATCTCACACAGATGGTCAATAGTTCATGCAAGGAGGCAGCAGACCATGTAAACGAGCCTTTGGATTCTGGCATTATTATTACCAGAGTAGCTTAGTATAAGGCCAAACCCTCTGAGAAACTGCTCASTGCTGTTGCTAGCATTCAAACCCAGTCTAATTTAGGATTTTCACAAAATCTAGAAAAAATTGGATTGCTGGAAATGTTATTTCTGTTGAAGTTTATATTTGTGTATTTGTATATACATATAGCTGTAAAAGACAATSGGAATTAATCTGATCTGAGCATATTTCAGTAACTTTTAAAATATTTGTTATGTCTTAGCTATTTTCCATAGGTTTTAAACTAGGTGGGTTTTATTGCTCCTAAAATATATTCATGCTATAAAGTGCAAGCAATAGGAGATAAATATGTAGTATGTACACTCTTGGAGGAAAGACCAGACACAAGTAATAGACCCCCAGTTAATCATAAGGAAACTGCCCTTTCAGGAGAGGGATTATTTTATTTTTATTTTTGGCTCTGCCCACTTTTGATCCAGGATTTGAACACAAGTTTCACTACAGGAGTTTAAATCTCTCTGGATGTTGTGYGCTGCTCTTTAGTCCAGCAGTGACAGTTTCACAGCCCTGCGGTTTCATTTCTGTAAAAAAAATTCCTCTAGTGAGATCTCCCTAAAGTCCTAAAGAACAACAGTACTGCTCTTGCCTTGTACCAGCATCTGGCAGTCAAACATTCKTTTTCATCATGATTTAGTTTGTTGTCTCTGCAGAGAAGTGCAGCCACACTGCCTGCACAAGCCATTGAGATTCAGAGTGGCAAGAAGACCATCAAACTTTGTCAAAAGGGAAGCCAGGAAAATACAGTGGTGCTGGAAACCAGCTTCATTTGCTCTAAGTGGATTTTGGTAATGCTCTTTGACAAAGTAAGGAGTCAGCTGGGTCCTGGTGAGCGAGTGGAAATCACCTTCAAGCTGTTCCTTCTCAGGCCTCTAAGAGAAGGTGCAGGGGTGAAGGGMTGCTCCTGGTCCTTGGACCAGAYTSACTCTGGGAGGCAGAAAGTGGGGAAAAAGGTGTGACTCCAGTGCAGATGCATTTCTGATCCCCTTTCCACTCTCCAACTTGAGTTAGCAAGGGAATAAAATCAGCCATGCCAATAACACTGTAGACAGCAATGGGATTTTCTGCTCTGATGTCTGCTTAAAATTCCCTGTGTCACTGACAAACTTGAGATGCCCTGCTGTGTACCTCTTTTATTGAGTTGTGATGTGAAGTAATGGAAAAATGTACAACTGCAAACACTCTTGGGCTCTCTAATGGTTGAGGAACCGTAGTAGAAACTGCTGAATTCCCCAAAAATCACGCCTGCACTCTGTCTGAGGAGAGACCAACCATCAGGCTGCATCTCTTAATAGACCTTAGCTTCTGCACTGCCCATTGCAAAAGCACTGGAGGCAAGCTGTGAGCAGGTGAAGTTGGCTGATGCATTCCCAGCAGGGCAGAAGTGGTCCTTCTCAACATGCCATGATATCAAACCCATTTCAGGAGCTTACAGACACGATCTCTCTTCCAAGAGATTCAGAAATGCATGGGGCTATTTATAAAACAAGAATCCATTATCAGAGATTACCCCAAAGATGTCAACTCTTGCTCTGGAAAGCTCTGATGCACAGACTGATGGATCTGCAGGATCATTTCTTGGGGATATAAGTCCTGCTTGCCTTCTCACTTAAGCATCTTCTGGCGGCTGGAGCTGGGCACAGAACACCAAACTAAAAAGTCTTTTGTTCGATCCATCATGATTTTCTCAGAAACTAACAGTGAGGAAAGCAGGAGGGCTGGCTCTGCCCCTGGTGATCCATGGTTAGCATTGAATAAATACTAAACAGCCCCAGGTGAGAGCAAGTGTGGTATGGATTAAATGTCCCACAGCTAAGGAATAAATTGGAAGGTTTGTGTTTCTCGTGCCAACTAAGGACAGCCTGTGTCCTAAGCCGCTCTTTGAGCCTGCTGGGACATTTTGGCTCTGTGCTACCTGTGTGCATCATGTTTCTGAAAGGCTATAGGGAGTTTGTAGGAAGGGGAGAAGTTGCRTCTTTACCTTTCAAGTGATGACCAAATCAATAGTTATTTCTGTGCCTGAAATCACAGTTGTCTCATTAAAATCTGAGTTATAGCCTGCATGTTCTTCTGTTCCTTCACTGGTTTTAGGGCAGTGTTCCCAAACTATGTACAGTAGGTTACTTCTTTTGTTCAGGCAAAATATGCCATGTTTTCGCCCCTTTTCCCCCAGCAATGTCCCCTTAAACATGTAAGGAATTATATCTGTTCAAAATCCATGTTTGCCAAGAAAAGAGAGAGTACTAACATTTAGAAAAGTGGGAGGATGAATCTTCACCARAGCTACAAAGTCGATAAAGAGACTTGCAGTGACCTGAACATAGGTCAAGTTGACCTATGTGAGAATAGAGAGACAAGAAGGAAAGCAAAGYAAGTTAGAGGAAAAGGCAGCAATAAAAATATGAGCTGTAACCATTAGTTGTGGTACTGTCAGTTCCTAAAGTGCCTGGGCAATACTTTGCCTTCTTTTTTCTGCTGTGCCAGGGTGTGAAAGCACAGGACAGGATCAGCCTGTCCACTTGTCTTGCAGCAAACAGAATAAGTGTTTTCCTGAGCAGGGAAACTGRGCTGTGAATCAGGAAAATGTGCTCCACAGGGACATGAGATAGAACATGTCTGGAGGTAGAAGGAAKATCTCTCTGGGGCTCTGTTCAGTTGCTGATCATTGTGATGCCTTTTTTCTTTTCCCTGACCATAACACCTTGCGTGGAGACCCTGACCCACTGTTTTATGTCMTTACAGAAGCTCTGCATATAGATTGGTGAGGTAAGAGGCATGGTTATAAAAAAAATCAGCTATTTATGTCCTTCATTACCCATCAGCCTTTGTAACTCTTGGCTTTTTGTATTCCAGGCTGGCACACTTCTTATTGGGGACYGTAAAAGAGAATTTGGATGAACTGCAAAGTAGGTGCAGGAAAATTATACTTCCTTAATTTTTACATTTCTCATGCCCAAAATGCCAGGGGGTGGTGGAAGGAATTTCTTACTACATGATTTGGGGATGCTCATGGGGATTTTTCTTGCTCTGCAGAGAGATGGCAAGAGATCAACAGTTAGGGATATATAGGAATGTCATACTCAATTAATTTTGTGAAATTACACTCTGAGGTTGTGTTTAGAAAATGAATTAATATTGGTGAAAAGCACTGATATCCTTGGATAAAGGGCAACAGAGAAGAACACATTGTTATTATTAAACTGTTGTAGAAATCCTCTCTTTCGCTTTGACTGAATTATTGCAGCGAGTTTCCTTGGTGATGTGACGTAGAATTTACTGGAGTGTTTGTGTTGTATAATTGAAAATGACAGTACCTTTATTAAACCGTCTGTGGGACCCTTAACTCTTTTCTGTGCTGCAGACCAGCTTTGCCAGCCATTCTTGTCAAGGGTCTCGAGCCAGTAAAGTGGAGGCTGGTCAGACAACAACAAAACCCCTAAATTAAGAGAAGGCCGAGGCAAAAAAACGCATGCCTTACTTGAGGCAAGTGAAATAATAGGAGGTGGATAATGAATGTGGCAGAAGTCTCAATTAACTGCTCATTAGATTGCTGCTCATTGATGAAAAAGGGAAGAGTGCAATTGTTTGSCATGTTTGTCCTTTTCTCCCAAAACTAAGAACATTATGTCCAGAAGTCATTGGTTTAGAGCCAGCTTTGTTGGCTCCACCAACACAAGGTGTCACTAACGGGTGTTCATTTGTTTGAGTAAAATGAGTTAATGGTTCTAGTTCAGTTTTTCTTAGATTTCTGCATAATAAACTTCATCTCTATCAAGCCTAATTGCTGTTTCTAGCAGCAGCCTCCCCAGAGAGTCTTTAGGGAGGAGGAGGCTGTGGAGGTTAAATTTGGTAAGATCACACACCTAGGGCTCTGTAACAGAGTTTGCCTTTCAAAAGCTTGCAGTCTGGCACTAAACATGAGTACTGGAGACCAGTTCTGTGGTTTGAATTTTCCTCATGCCTGAGATGTTAGTGTGCTCAGAATAAAGGTGTCCAGCTTGTTAAGTGTTAGTGCAAACCATTAAGCKATCCTTTCAGCAGTGCTCTCTGTTCCTGTGCAGCAGGGTGGCAATGTGCCTCACAGCTGAACTCCATCCTGCAGCAAACCTGATTTTATCACCCAGGGTGTAGTAGGACCCTTACATTTGAAGCTRCTGCAATGCAGCAGTTTTGCTCTTTGATATGGGGGTTTAGTGGCGCTGCACCAGTGGTTCCTGTGGGGTTTGAGAAAGGGCTGAAAGCTTAACTGTGTTCTCCAAGTATGGATTGATCTCAAAAAGAAATTACATCTTCATAAGAATATAATCACTCCCTTGTCAAATTAAATTGAGTAAATTTCCCYCTCTTAAATTAAGTTTGATTTCTGTAATGACTGCTTAGTCCCACCAATATTGGTGCAAAGGCAATATAGATACACTCTGATTGAATGTGGATCCTCTCCTGAATATGCCAACTTGATTATATATCTCAGCGAATCCTAACTAGGATTTGAATCCTTGAATCAAAATGGTTGCTTCATTGCCACATCATTAAAAAAATAATTGTGGGAGTCTGATTAATAGCTGGGCTCCAGGCTTCTTTCACAAAGACAAGAGAAACTCTGCGGAGAAATCAACAGGAACATTAAATATTGATATCTGTGTGGCCCTGATGATTTGTAGCTTCTCATTTTGGGATGGGGTAGAATAATAGATAATGGAAAGAAAGAAAAATTATTGTACAGTATAAATATATATTTAATTAMAGGAATTTAAATTATTCCTCCATACGAATCAGGAAATTCTGYTGTCATCAATCAGACAGTATCTTGSGTATTGAAAATCTTAAGCTTTTGATTGAAAAAGAAGCAAGTCTGTTCCGGATGTTCTTTCTGGGAGGTCTTAAAATGGGGTAGTTTTTTACTTAATATTTCTCCATAAACTTCCTTGGACATTCTGAAAATTAGCAGCTTACTAGAATGCTTAACTTCACATAGGTACAGAGCAGGCCAGACACAGCAATTCATTGAACCCCACATCTACAAACCCAAYAGCATTTATTTGTCAGTCTGTCTGCAGTGGATGAGTCCCTCTCCCTTTGATCTTCAGTTTGTGAAGTTACTGAGATGTCAGATTCAGACTGGCACAATCCACATCAGTACAGATGAGGAMAGAGCAGGAGCCAAATCATTATATTTTGTAAGTGATTTGTTTATTATTTGCACCTTTCCAGCCTCTCAGTAAAGAGGAAGAGAGCCTTGGAGAATGGAAAGAAGAGCAACTGGATGAGTTGAGGTCAAGGGAGAAACCATGACACATTAGATTAAGTTCTACAAATCTTTCATCACCAGAATATGATGTATCTGCAAAGTTAGGCCCTTTATTGGTTTGTTAATTAAGGAATTAAATGATTTTATCTGTATCACTGGAAGAATCAGAATGGGTCAAATCTGAATGAAATCACCCCTGGACCTGTTTCCTTTGTGTCATCCAACAGATAGAAATAGAGTAAAAGAACAATTGGAAAAGTAACTGAATAATAAAATGTGTGTGTAGTTTTTCYGGTTAAACTCTTGCCTTGGATTATTTGGATTTTTACCCTGCAATGAGKACTTGGGAAGATTACAAATGCCAAGAACTGCAACAGACCCTGTGCATCTACTCCATCTAATTGCAAGCCATGTACAGTTTGAGAGTTGAGCTATAGCTGATAATCCCTTCTGACTTCCAGATGAATTGAAATGTTCGGTTGATACAGAACAGGTCACAAGTTCATCTCATTCACAGGGAAAAGTGAGTGCTTTCTGCAAACAAACCATGAGCTGCACAGTTCAGCCAGGCCAGATTTGTTATTCCTTTTCTTCCAGGTCATCGAGTAGTGGTGAATTGTTTCAGAGCTCAGCAGGCTCCATCCAAAGCCTGCCTTTCGTTTCTGAGGTCCAGGATCTTTAGGGGAATCACCCACGGTTGCACCCAAATGGCAGCTAAACATCTTCTAGAAGTTGGGTGGAAAAGAGACCAAGACCCATTGAAAATCTTTTGGTTTAATTTGGGTTAACCCTCAGTATCAATTATGTTTTCAGGTCAGGCTCTTCTCCTGTTAGCTCATGAAGTTGGCTTTGTGACACCAATGTTTCAGGAGACGTTACATCAGTTCCACGTGGCTGGATTGCATTGCCTTGCTCCTTCACACCTACATACTTGTGCATCATCCTGGGGTGTCCACTGAAGTTTTCTTTCCTCCTGGAGATGGCTCCAAAGCAATTCCCCACGTTCTCTCACCATCTCTGGATGTGCACAGTCTGCTTACCGTTACTTGGAGTTGATGATTTCGTATCCAAGTGTACAGCACATTTAAACTATTAACATGTCTAAGAAACTCTATTCCTTTCTGATGCCTTATGCCCACAGGAAAGAATGAAAGGAAACATATGTGGTTTTTGAGAAGAAGCAAAAAAAAAAAAAAAGGATTGCTCTCAGGAGACTTTCTCCTCAGATGCTGTGATGAGTAATGCTCCTGTCAATTATTGGGTTTTACAGAAACAAGCTAAAAATTGCCTAATTTTAGCTTCATTTGCTCTCTCAGGTTGATGTCATTCCTACTCCCTGTGGAAACGAACAGCTCTTAGCTGGATGAGAAATCAATGCCAATCAAGAYCACAGAAATTATTAAGGACTTCCCATCCCGCGCCTTCACTCGAGATTTTATTGAGAACTGTGGAGAGACATATTCGAGCAGTTGTGAAGCTTCTCCCACGATGTTAGCTTTGGAACATTTTGTCTAAGTCACAAGTGCTGAAATAATTAATTTTCTTCCTTTTAGCTATGGTTTCTTAGCATAGTACTAGGGATTATAATGACTTGAATGATTGATATCCATGATTAAATGCTTGTTCTTGGGAAAGGTAGAGYGTACCATGGCTGTCAAATGTTGGCTCCCTTTTAAGTTTGTGTTAATTATTTGCTAATCTATGACTCTTTCTTTAGTAAAATCCCTTTCACAGGATGAGAAGTGAGTGTGAGATGTAAATAATTGACAACAATGTGTATTTCTCTGTAATTTAAACAAAAATATATGTCTCTAAAGCAGTTTTGTTAGCTAGGATCCTTCTCTGCCCTATGAAAATCACATGCCTTTTCAAYCCACCTATTTTATGTTCCTGTTTTGGAAGGAAATTTTGATGTCAGGATTAGATGTATAATTTCTATGTGGTTTTACAGAGCTTCAGTGGTGTGTGAATCCTACCTTTGGTGTGTTTAGGAAATCCATGTCTTCACTARAGAGCTGCAAGGGCTGAGTTAACTACCCTGCTTTGGAGAATTTTATGTCTTTTTGTCCTGAATTCCACTGCTTGTCCCACTACTGTTGGGTGGACTTTGCAGTGATTTACCACACAAGTAATTGCATTATAATTGTGGTGCAATTAGGAGTTTAGGTCTGATATTTAACAGACAGGTAGTCACAGGATAAGGGGCTATTCCACATCGTGACCTGGAATGCTGCAAGTCTGCAGAAATCCATGCATGGGTACTATTTGCTTCTTTATTTGATTTTAAATTGCTCCACCCTGTTTTAGCAAAGGGCTCTTGCTGGTGTCCCTGGGTACAGCACAATGTCTTTCCTTGGGAGCAGGTGAAGCTGTAAAAGTCATAAGAAAGAGCTAATTTCCTTTCACAGTTGATGAGCYTGATGCCCTTAAATCACCATGGACTTAAAGCAGATTCTCTTCTGGTGGTAAGAAGCTCTAGAGTCAAACACAAAYACTGCATTAAAGGTGCTTCCTGTTTGTAGTAGCTGAAAAGTATCTTGTGGGCAGATGTTATAGGGATAACTCCAAAAAAGAAAAGRTGAAAAATAAGAAATTCTAAAGAGAAGTGCTTGAAGACTTTTACCAACATGTCTTTACATCGTCCTCTGAACCATTGACAGAATTCAGTCACAGTGCAAGTAGGACAATATTGGTGAGATTTAAGAAAAAAAAAAAGGAATTGGAAAAAAAAATTTACCTTGAGGGGAGGCTACAGAAAATGGAAAATAGGAAAGAAAAAAACAACCAATCAACCCACTAAGCTAATTTCACCCTCTGATGTGTTTGGTATTCCCAGTGTTCAGTGCAATCTGTTTTGCAGACTAAGGATGTAATTTTACATTGTAAACTTATTTAAAATGAGCAAGACTGACAGCTCACATTCCTCTGACAGTATTTTATATGCCTAATTTTATGGGTTGATCCTGTGCAATTTTTATATTTCTTAGTCGAGGTGTCCTGATTGTAAAAGGAGGAAAAGGAACCTAAGTGTTGAGGTTTGCAGCTCGACTCTTCTTGCCCTGTGTCCCCTGCACTTTCACTCTCCATTCACATAATTTCCAAAGTCTGTTTTCCTTCGACAAATACTGCAGGGGAATGGCTGGACAAGACATGTGAGAGCTGAGGCATGGATCTTCCTGTGTAGGCTAAAGGATTTCTGTGACCTGAGCATGGAAAAGTTTTTTCAACAAGTTAAATGTTGAGGTAAATAAAATTGAGAAGGTGGTTTCAGCCTTTGCCTGTACTGCAGATCTCCGTGTCTGAGAACAGCCACCATTTCTGCACTTATTGCAGAATCACCCAGGAGAGCCCTGCATTGTCAAAGAGAATAAATTGCTTCCTCACTTGTAGAAGTGGTCCCTGAAGTTCAGCATTAAGAAGTGAATGGGGAGGCATCACAGGAGAGATTCTGCTGCCTCTGTCTATAATAAGGTTAAAAGGTAACCTCATCACATTCTTTAACTGTCTCCAGTGGGGATATCTARTATAAAGTGCAGGGATGGGAAAGTGCTCATTAATTTCACATAGTCATAACAAGAAACAGTAGCTGAAAACTGAAACGAGATGAATTAAAATTACAAATAAGATATTTTTTTTTGTTTCTGATACATTTGTTTTCTTAACGGCAGAAATAATTAACAACATTGGCTGACTGGCTCAGAGGAAGAGAAAGGTTTTCCACTGCTTGTAGTGTTTAAATTGCAATGAGATTTCTTTCTAAGAGGGGGAGTTTTAACCACTCCAGAAGTTATTGAGCTAAGTAGAGGAATTCCTAGGTGAAGTGTTGCCTTTAACACTATCAAGACTCTGAGRCTGCAGGATCATCACTGGCCCTTTGGTTCCCAGCCTTTCCTTGCAGTGTCCTCTCATCGTCTGTTTCAATGGCTTTTTCCCTTCTCCATGTGCTCATATCTCCATCCTCAGTGCAATGAACATCCAAATGATGTCTTTCCACACTAATCAACTACATTTGCTGCACAGTATCTGCCAGTGGAGGTTTTGCCCTGTTGCAGATGAGCAGATCATGGAACTTTCTAGGGCAGGCAGGAGGAGATGAGATAAAACAAGGGATCTATTTAGCATCCATATCAGGAATAAACACTCATTTCCATAATGAATTTGCCTGTKTTTGTCATCACTACAGCCTTTCATTAGGAGGATGGCAGCTGAGATTCCTGTATCTGCCATTTCCATGGTACCCTCAGCAGCAGGTTGCTCAAGGAAAGATCTCTTACTTTAATCACTGCTGTGAAGGATTGGGCTGTGGGTGGGACTGGGGCTGTTTATGGCGACACAAGGAAGGGGAGAGAATTAAAAGCGAGCTTTCTGTGCTAGAGCTTGTCAGCTTAGCACTAATATATGTGTTCCTGAACTCTTCTTGACTCACTTCTTCATTGATTTGTTTGTATATGTGGTACTTCGTGACGAAGGAATCTCATCCGCCCTTCCTGCTGAAATATGGCTGCCTGCGTGGGGAGCGTGACTGGTATTTAGCACTGACCTGACAACACGACATTTCAGAAACAGAGAAGGGGAAAAGAACACATTTGCCTTGAGTAGAGGGGAAACTAAGGAAGTAAAATCATTCCTACACCATCTAGGAGTCCATCTAAACTGCATATCAGTGTGGCTCCCTCATGGGGATCAGAGGGTTTTATACTTCTCTAGCTTGAGGAGGATAACCACACTCTTCAAGATTTTGATATTCACAGTTTACAACRAAGAATTCCTTCAGAAAGGTGATGGGAGAGCCCACCAGGCAATATTGACAACCAGTTTGCCTGCCAGTGCTGGGGACTGTAAGTAATCAATGYGAAGGAACACAGAAGGGCAGCTGTCTTTGGTTTTTGGGAGGAGATCATCTGATGAGTTTTTTATCATCTGCTTTGTAGCACAAGAGTCAAAAAAATGGTGTTTAAATGTAGATAGAAGCTTCTAGCAGGGCTTTCACAGAATGTGGCCTGACTCAAGATGAAGAAGCACCAAGGCTCTGCCTCGTACACTTCAATTTTTCCTGCCTTTGCAGGCGTAAGTAACAGGGGAGGGCTCGTGTACCTCGGAGTCAGAGAAATGATTATCTGTTTATCTTTCTTTTCTTTCAGACCAGTACAATGAAACCAGCAGAACTCTCCTCCCTCCCCCTCCTCCTCTCTTCCTATCAGATAAACCTTGTTTTAGAAAAATTAGAATGCTTTGTGGATAAAGGAAGGTGACCCTAGSTCTTGGATCTGTTTCCTTCATTAGCAGCGAATCGGCGTGTAGTGATTGCTGCTCCCAGTGTCAATGCTGGAACATTTAACCAGTCAGAAGAGTTTACAGATGCCAGGAGAGAGGCCAGTGATGCATATAATATATCCATGGAGTCATAAATAGCTGAGACAAGGGCTGGTTATTGCTTAGCTCAATATTGTTGTTTAATAGCAACTCTAAATACACTCTGCTGGGTTAAATATTGTACTATTAACTCGGGAGATAATGATCTTCCTGGACTGAATGAGAGACAATCATATTATTATGTGTTACATTTCTTTGAGCTCCCCATATGTGAGCAGGGTAATTGAGGGGACTGGCAATCCTGTAAGCCATTCAGAGGGTCAGACTGTCTCACTGTCCCTCTCTGCCCCTTCCTAGATTAGGCAGAACAACTTATTCCATGAATACAAAAGCTTTAGATGAACCTGCTTTTTCCATATTTGTAAAACACCCACCAATCCATCGTTTCAGCCTGTGATATTATCGATCTCTAATTATAAGATATCTGTTCCACAGCAGCAGCAGCAAAGGGAACAATTCATCCAGGCCTTTCCCTCATCTTTTCTCACACCTAAAGGAAGAAATGAGTTGTCTTCATGTTGATCTTTTTCTCTATTGCCTGTCTGAGCTAGAGGAAAAAAGAAAAAGGATTCAGCAAAGGAAGGAACCCTGTTTCTGAAAGAACAGTAATGTCCCTGGAAAATGTCCCACCCTTAAACCCAGCTGAATAGTTCAATGAGAGCATAGATCACATAGGCTGTCAGAGTGGAAGTTTTTATGATATTTTTAGAGTACATTTTTAGCTGGCCAAACAAAAGAGGAATCAGGAGGATGAAAGAAACGCCTGCAGTTTACCTTAGCTTGCAATAACCTATTCACTTTGCTTATATTGTGCTTTTGATACCAGTGCCCCKCCTTTTCTATTTCTCATGGTCTCAGCTACTGTTTTTGTTCAGTGCTGTATTTAAATAGGATTTTATTTAAAGGATTCAAATGTATTGAGGAGAGGAAACAATGAATTTATATATGTAAACATATAAATGTGCAAGTGTGTATGTATATACACATATATGAATTTCTCAGTATCAAAGCCTAATTTTAGGTAGACTTTTCTGTTCCCTTCTGAGCTTTAACACCTCACCTTCATTACTCTTTAAATTCAGAACCTTTAGAGAACAGCCTGKTATTGTCTAAATCCACAAAGGCTACCAAAGGCTGGCATCAGCAATCAGTTCTATTACCTCTCTTCAAATGACCATTTTMATTTGCATGACAGACACTTAAGCTMTKCAGAAACTCCACGCAGAYATATTACAAGACCATTGTGCTGGTAAGTTATGTGAGCATTTTACAACATTCTGTTTTAAACCCCAGAGCTTTGTGAATCTCTCCACATCAAGATTAAATGTAATTTACCTTAGCTGTTTGTAAAAATGGTAAATCAGGAACTGATTTTGCAAGGACTATAAACAGTTGTTTAAAGCTTAATTTATACCAATCTATATTCAGAATAACCTCTGCAAGTCTTGTTTATTGGGGGCATTCAGCACTTGCACTTATTCTCCGGTTTGGTTTCTTTTCTCTCTTTGAAGGTCATCTTTGAGGCAGGTTATCTTTCAGGCCTCTTCTTTTGTGGAGATGAGGATTTATTTTTATTGCTTTTAAAAACAGGTTAGATGCCTCTGATTTGCTTGCTGGTATCTTTTTAATTTCATCATGGGAGTCTTGCCACTGGATGCACT